GCTACTTTGAAGGATTTTATTAATGCATGTACTTTTTACTAAACATTCAGAGAATTTGCTGTTAGTGCTGACTGCAGGAAAGGAAAATACTCATTTTAAAAATGACACATTTTGGATTATTTCTACTGCAATGGTAGGAAACCTATTGTTTTCTGTTATGATACTGATGTGGCTTTAAATACTTCTGAGTACACGACAAACTCGACATGTTTTGGTTTGACTTATTGCTATTCTTTTTGGTTTTTCTTGAATATTGTGAATAAATGTAATTTTTTGGCTGCTTTGTCACCTAGCATAAACTCTAGCTAACATTTAGCTAATTATCTATCGCTCTTTGTCATTACACAGTAACAAAGCAATATGGACTAAGCTCAGAGTAAACTAAATCCTTGTAATAACAAGGAACTTTGCAAAACCTACCATCTTGAAACGCAATATGTTACGTTATCTTGTTATTAAAATTTGAGTTTTTTTATTCACTTGTACAAATTTCGATTTTCAACAGTAATTATTAACAAGATTTCTCTTTTCTACGTGTTACTGAGAACGTTTTAAATGATAACCTTTGGCTATATCTATCAAGTCCTAACCTTAATTTTCTCGAGGATAACCATGTTTTCTGTTCATCTTTTTCTGACCGTGGACATCTGCTCTTAGGTTTTCACAGTGTGGGCTGAGGTTACAGAAGCAACTGATTACAAACCCGTTGTAAGCCTAGTGCAGATACCGTTAGTTTTTCTTTTGGCACTAAACTTTGTTGCCTTAGTTCCTCAGACTTCCACGACCTTTTCAGTTTCATTTGCATGTAACATATCATTAAGTTGGAATAGTATGATTTCAACCTTCACCCGGTCAATCAATATTTTGGTGATTGAATGTCTTTAAGGACCAATTGTGTATTTTCAAAAATGTGTTATACATATACATATATCTGTGTTGTTACGCAAACACACTTCTCACTAATCAAATGCTGATTTACACTTTCAGTATTTGGGTGAATGTAGAATTTTGGCCTATTGTAATAAGTTCCCTTTTCAACAGCAAATTAAAGTTGTTGTTTCATATTCATTTCGAAGGTCGTTACTTTTTATGCAGTCTCTTTTTTAATCTAGGCTCTGCTGCTATTTTCTCTGCCTCTTTGTGTGTGTGTGTGTGTTTTAAGCACTTTTTAAATCCTGCAAAGCTCAAAGGCTTTCATTATACTTTTGATTGTAGTTTCATGCTCAGGGGTCATAATGGACAAAGGGTCAGTTTCAAAGGCAAAAGAATAAAAGCAACTCTTATGAGGAACTCCTTGATATGATGCAGAGCAGACGGTCGAGCGTGAACCGAGGTATTCATGTAAACGTGCACTATTCAAGTTCAAGGTCATGATTTGGCCTTTTGAGAAATAATTTGAGTTTAATGAAAGTCTCTCTTTTTTGTATTGTACATTTAAAGAGGATTTTTTTTTTGTAGTTCTTCTTCGAAGAGCGTTTCCACGTACTAAGATTTAATAATGCGTGGGTGACGCAGCTGTTAACAGAAGTGATATTCTTTAATCCACCAGTGCATGTTGATCCAGTCCTTAGCTTTGTTGTCATAAAGCAGATGTACAAGTTTCATCTCACAAAGACTCAAGTTTGTTTAACGTGAACAAAATTAATTTATGGCAGCAGACTTGAACTGACCGTTGTTTATGTCTCCCTTTGGACTTTTAAAAGTCCACACTACATTTCTAACAAGTTTTGCTAGAAAATAAACAGGTACTTCACAAATATATTTCACAGCAACAACACCCAGCTCTGCCTTCCATAAATGCCTCTCAGCATGTTGGAAAGTAAAGGAAGGAAACTTATAAAGTACTGTATGTACAGAAAAGCAGCTTAAAAAAGAATGGAAAATAAATGTTGCTTCAACCCAGAGGAAGCTTAAAAAAGAAAATAAATGTTGCTTCAACCCAGAGGAGGAGAAGAAAAAAAAAACTTGGGTCAGTGTGTGGGCAAGACAAATATTTTAGATATTATTTTATCATGTCCAAACTTAGTAGTTCATCCTCTCCCTTGCACACTGTGTGTGGGCAGTCTTGGACTGCCTGTGCAGAGCTTAGATTCTGGCAGGCATCCTGAAGGGCAGGATGGTGCCGTGCCTTTATCCATTCCTTGACAGCCTTCACATCTGGCCTCTAAACATTATTCAAACATCTAAATCTTTGAGAGTTAATACTGGAGCTCCAACTGTACTTATAACTACTACTTTGGTTGTAGATACTACTGTAATTGTAGCTACTAGCTCAGTTACAACTGCTACCCGAGTTCGTAACTGGTCCTCTAGTTGTAACTACTACTCTCGTTGTAGATACTGCTCTTGTTGATAAATTGGACTAATTGTTACTTATCCTTGTGATGTGATGATGTCAGTCGGGCTGTGTGAAGACACTACAGCAGGCGTAGAAATAGTTTTATGGGAAAGTGTGTAAATATGAAGTCCTTTGGGGGGATGCTGATGTGTGACGCCGTCGGTGTCCCTGATTGGACAGGACCTGTCATGCTCAACACTCCTGAGCTCACATATATTAAGATGAATCTCACTCTTTGACCTTTTCCCAGCTGCTGTGTTTCTGTGTAAAATGTGAAGGGAGCAAAATAAGGTGAGGAAAATAGCAAAGTAGCAGGGAAATAAATTATCATTATGGCAGCGGCTGACAATCATAGACTGGCAAGTCATTTGGCAGACAAGTCTATTGGTGGTTGGCGGGCATTGGTGCATTGTCTTGGGACCAAGACAGTGATGTATTGTGTGCCCATCAGTGTATTCATTGGTTACAAATAATAGCAGTGCAGCAGCCCTCTAGTGTGTTTATCTGCACACTGAGCCAATGTTTGGCTTTTCTGACCTTGTTTGGTTGCAGGAATGGAGCAGCGGAGTACTTAAAAAACTGTGGAGTACTTACTAAAAAATATCTTTTTGATGATGTGTGAGATTTCATGCTGTTGATTCTGTCTGATACAATAATTAGAAATAATTGCGACTAGGATTTCATTAACAAAGTTTGTTAAATAAAAATGACTTTTTGTCTTTGTGGACAGAAACAAACTTTCCAATGTTTTTTGGCTGACTTTATAATAATTTGGCCCTTTTACTTTTAGATAGTCAGCCAAAGAGTTAGCAGTACGGTAACACTAAGGATGCAGTGAAATACTGAGAATGAAATGTTATTTTAACCTAAAGCTACACCTAGCTGTCATGCTGCCACACTGACCTCCAACATACACACAATGTGGTGCTGCCCTATGCTGCAAACACACAGACACCATGGCATGTCAATGTGTGCTCCAAACACACACACACACACACACACATCATCATGATGCTGGTCCTGCGTGGGTGCAAACACTGTTCTGTGTCTGTGCTTTAAGCTGTGATCACACCAGTGGACCGTGAGAGGTCATCAGATGTGCCTTGAAACTTTTAATGTACTGCAAATAATTTGTGCCGTGGATTAAACAAAAGAAAAGGAAAAACAAACCAAAATAACCTGTTGTTAACATTAAAAAATAAAAACATATAAAGAAACTTTTTTATATATAATAATAATAATATATTATTATATTTTTTAACTGTTATTAACTTGTATAAATAACTGGTGTGATTTCTTTGTTTTTATCTTAAGACTTATATATTGCCTGTCACAGTGAAAGTCGTGAAAGTCGTGTCGTGATATTAATTATAAATGGTGCTGTTAGCTGTCCAGCTCCACTGGACATTCATTGTAAAAGCATAGTTTCAAAATTATGGACTCATGCCCAGAATGACTATGATTATATACGGCACCCGCAGCTCCCAAGGTAAGAGGTCCGGCGTTTCTGGAAATTATGGCTTGCTGTGAAAGTGATTTAAGAATATTAGTGTGACAATGTGAAAAAGTCTACACGTGTTGTCAAAGCACAGAGCAGCTCGACATTAGAGGGTGTTGAAAGAAACGAGGCATTTAACCTCAGTTCAGAGAAGAAAAGTTTTGACTTTTAGTTCCCATACCCTTGGAAGTTACTGTGGAAGTTACTTTATAAACAAGTATGTTCAGTTTCTCCTGGGCATATCCTGTCTGCAGGAGAAAAGTTGTCCTTGCTGTCAGGTGTTGATTAGCCAGCCAGGGTGATGTGGACATGACTGTCTCTGAGCCTCAGTGGGAGGTTGGCAGTGCAGCTTGATGGATGTCTTTCTTTAGAGATTGCACAAAACCATGGAGAGGGTACAAGGTAGAGAAGGAGACGAAAAAGGAGGATCTGACCCTTGTTATCTATTCATGCTGTGTGCATTTTTTGCTTTGAATAAAATGAAGTGGAGCCCGCTTCACAACATGAGGCCTATAATTTCTACAAGGTAAAGAGCATGAAAAAAATACATCTTTCTTTGAAAGATTTAGCAGATAAATTGATTTGGGGAATAATTTTGCCTCACTCTGTTTGAGGCCCATTTAAAAATGCATATATATTAAAAAAAAAGAGAGAGATGCAATGTAGTGATTAAATTGGTCATTTTCTCTTCCATTTTCCCTTGCTTGAGACCAGATATGAGTAAACAAATGAAAGAAAACATTTCATTGAGGGGAAAAAAACATGGTCTTGTTTCCTCTCTGTCAGTTTACTATTTCCTGATTCTGGCAAGACTGCTGGGAGATTGATGTGTCTGTCTCGTTCTTACCTTCTGCAACTGTTCAGCAAAGCTTAGGGCTCCATGAAACTCGCCAAATTCCAAAATGATGAATGTACACTGGAGCGTCCATCGGGGGAAGAGACAAATCTCATATCAGCCTGAGAAAGCAGGCAGATATTGAAAATGATCTGGATTTTTGCCCAGCACAATATTGAAGAGCTGTATTCTAATTGCATGAATGAATTGAATGTTGAGTTCTGATAAATCAGTGTGTGTGTGTATGTGAGTGTGTGTGTGTGTTCTTCGTCAGTGCTGCGTAAGTCATTTTCATTGTTGTTGATTGCTGGTTTACTGGAGCAAAAACCTCTGCACACACTGTAACACATCATACAAATGAAACACTTGACAAGATCTTTCACCCACATGTCAAGTGTTTCAACATATCAAATTGCGATAAGAAGAACATTTTTCAAAATACCGGTTATCATGTAAAGAAGTGGGAAGCAGCGAATCAGTATAGAAAACCATATTTATTTCTCATAAGGCTGTCCTGTAATGTACTTGTATCTACAGGGTAGATAACTGTATGTTTTCCACTGTGACTAATACTTTCTCACTGACACTTTGAATAAATCATCTGTCTCTAGTGTTGAAGGGGCACAGCAAACACAGCAAAGCAGTTCAATCCATGACCACCATGTCCACAGCACTGACAGATGCTAGGTGTTCGACGATGGTCTCAATTTTTTCTAGGAGCTAGGAGCAAAGGTGGGGGGGGGGTCTTCGTCAGTGCTGCTTCCTTTGTGAAGCAGTTCAAAACAACCTTTTCCACTACAAGATTAAAACCAATGGTGTTGCTGGATGGTGAAAACGGACCAGTACTCACTGTTTGTATTCCATTGTGACATGTTTCCAATGCAAGCATACACTACACTGTATTTCGATAAGGTCCTCTGAAGCGTATTCAGGGGCATGTGTTTAAAGGCTCATCTTCTTAAATCTGTCATCTAATGTATGTATTTATATATGTTTATATACACAAATTATGATACAAAGAAAGGAAACAAGAGCTAATGAATTTACACTGGGCATGCCCACGGACAAAAGGTCAAACGTCCATCAAGGAACTTGAAGGTGACACTGTACTGACGGCCCTGGAAAAGCTTTCTTGGACTCTTCAACCTGTTAGCAGTCAAATTTGCTGAATATCCCGTGATGTTACAGCCAAATCGTCCTTGTGTCCTTGTTGGAATGCCATCCCACTGAAGATGAGAGTCCGATTCAAAAGCCATCTGCATAGAAATAAAAGGAAATCGAGGTATTTCCTCCCCCCACAGTTCTATGGCTCCCATGTTCAGGTCCATGTAGGTTCCACAAACCACTTTGCCTCAGGCAGGCAGGCAGCCTGGGCGAACGTCTTCAAATAATGTTTTAACAACCTCCGAACAACACCTGCTGAGCTGTTTCACTTTTGAGGGTTGAGGCAAAGTGAGAATAGAGTGGGAGATGGATAGGTTGAGAGAGAAAGATAAAGGAAGTGGCCGCAGTCTGGTAAAGAGGAGTCACCAATGTGGAGCTCATTGATCAAACAGGGGATTAGTCTGGTTTCAAATCCTTGGCACCAGATGAGTAAGTCTGTTTTCTCTAGGTGGAGATCCTTCCTGTGGTCCCAGGTAATCCAGTCAGTACCGGTGGATGTAATAGTTCTAGTCCATTTGGTGGGAAGGAAAAGGGTGGATGAAGGGGGAGAGCCTGGCACGTAGCACTGCTGAAGGAACTCTCTGTTAGGTCCTGGGATGAATCTGCAACACAAAGGGGGGGAGGGAGAAGGGGGAGAAAACACACATACACTTAGCCAAACAAAGGCGTACAAATGTGAATATTACACCCTGAAGAATTTCTCTGTTTGCATGTTTCAAAAACGCAGCAATGTCTTTTGAACTCTGAAGGTTTTGTACAGCTTCGGTCTCACCTCCTGGTTCTTCTCTCTACTAAAAGCAGACGGCTTTTATGAGAGGCAACAAAGCAGAGAATGGAGGTGTGTTTAGTTCTGGCTTACTTCAGAGAGAAAAAAAAAAGATTCATTTAAATAAATATATAAAAGGAGAAAAAAGACCCCAGAGGTGTTTTCATGCTGTGCATGTCTGCTTCACAAATTGCCACTTTGGTACATGTTGACTTGAACTCAGACCATTTGTGCTGTTGCTAAATGGGTTCGGAACCCCCACTGTGTAATATTAGGCATTTATCTGAGACATTGGTTCAGCTTTTTTTGTTTGTTTGTTTGTTTCAACATCAGTTTCAGACTTTAGGTACAGACACATTTCAATAGTACAATAGTGCCATGTTAAGACTGCTGGTGAATGTTGTTTTTGGAATAATTCTCTACTGAAGTTTGTTATTAAAATATATGACACGATGTCCATAAGTTTTGAAGCACTGCAGAATTGCAGCCTTTAAAATTTTTGTCTGAATACAATTTGAATTTTGTATTTATAATTAATATATATCGTTGAGATTTAGAATTAAAACTTGGCAAACACCCTATAATGTTGTTGAAATACGAGGCTACTGTAGAACATTAGACATTAGCATGCTAGTAAAGTCCATATATTTAGAAAGTTGCTTTTGCCCAAACCCCACCATTCTTATATTACAAACATATGTTATTTATAAAGAGTAAAGTTTGCAGTACAAAGCTACTGTGAAGATCGCCAGTTTAATCATCAATCATTTGACTGACAGCTAAAACTGCCGGTGACCACTGCCTTTTAGAGCTCGAAAATCACATTAAATATGAAACTAATAACAGATGGATCATCAGAATGGCAGTAATTTTGCTAGTGACACGGAAACGACCTGTGAGCCAATTTTATTGACTGAGGATTTTATGAGATAATAGAAATGGAAATGTAGAGCAAGTAGAGTGGCGTGTGATAAAAAAAAAAAACTACTGTGTTGAGCTGAAGAATGAACGAAATGAATGAAGGAAGGAAAGAATGAGGAAAGACAGTGGATTGGAGTGGAAGAGAAGGAGAAAAGCATGGCTATGAAGAGGTTGAAAACTGAACAGGAAACTGGGGAGAGAACGCCGAGACAGGGGTGAGATGTGCAGTCAGGGACGAGGTGAGTTAAAAGTAGTACTGAGGTTGTGTCAGGTATCAGATATAGAACTTTGGTTTGAAGTAACAATGGACAGGTCAACTGATTCATTCAGGCAGGTGCCTCAGTGGATCAATGTTTTGCAACCTGTTTGGAGCCACAACACATATTTTACAATTTAAAAATCCAACTGTACAGCACCAAGCAAAAATATAATACAAACTATACATTATAAAATATGAACTCACAACTCATTGTGAGGCTTGTGCCTGTTTAGATGAACACAACTTTAATATACTCACAGGAATTGAGGAGAGACGCACATGAAAGTCTTGTCAACAACTCTTTTTTTTTTTCATCACTATATACTGCCACCTAGTGGAATTCTATTGTTTTACCCATCACCGGCACTTGGATGAATGAAGTCAAATGATCTGCATTGTTTTCAGACCAATTAAGTTACATTGGATAATTTTCCACAGCAGAACGGCTAATCTGTCACGGCACACTAATGCGCCGTGACACAATGGTTGGGAATCACTGTGACAGACTGTAATGTTTGCAGATGACATTGTAACCTGAGATGAGATAGAGAAACGAAGACAGTAAGGTCTGCAATGCAGAGAAAGGGAATCAGTGTGTGTGTATAAAAACGAGGCAGGTGAAAAGGTGAGGATACAAGTAGTACGAAGAAGTGAGGGTGAATAAGTTAATGTCAGGTTAAACCATTCAGAGCAACACGGTGCAGACATGAAGAGAAGAAGAAGAAGAGAGTGCTGTTAAGAGCCAGTGGAGATGAGTGTCAGGGATGATGGGTGAGGGAAGAACAGTAGCCAGACTAAAAGAAGAGGTTTATAACACAGAGACGTGCTATGATTTATGGTTTGGAGAAAGTTGCACTGTATAAAAGACAGGGGAGGACTGGAGGTGATCGAGGTGAAGATACACATCAGAGCTGCAGCTTAGCTTTAGCAGTTTGAACAAGAAGGCATAGAAGCCAGGCTGAAATGGTATGGACAAGTGCACAGAACAAAATGTATATCTATGGAGATAATGGACATAAGAGGTTTAAAGAAAGAGCTTTCAGGCAGAAGGGAAACAGGGGGACATAGTTTATGGACAGTTTGTGTAGGAGGGCCGAGTAGACGGAGTAGACGGCCTGACGCAGAATGGTTTAACCTGACATTAACTTATTCACCCTCACTTCTTCGTACTACTTGTATCCTCACCTTTTCACCTGCCTCGTTTTTATACACACACACTGATTCCCTTTCTCTGCATTGCAGACCTTACCGTCCCGGTCCCTGGAATAGGATCAAGGTCTGTAACAGTGTTTGTAGGACTGTGTAGTGGTTGTATATAATGCTGTAGCATTGCCTTTGATATAATTTTCTTTTACTTTTAATGTTTTTCAGGTGTAGAAACTTGATCTTCATGTTGTTTATGTCTTACAGATTATTCAGCAACGCTTACTTTGTTTTATTTAAAAAAAATGTCTTTTTACTTGGTCCAAAATCTGGCTCCCGGTGCCTGCTGCTAGGTTTCTCTCTCAGGATCCCGTAATCCACATTTGTTAACAACTAAACCTACCTTGTACCTTTTTGCCCTTGTGGATATGTCGGCTGATGGGGGGCCTTTGCCTTAGCTGCATTTAAAGAACTCATCGAAATTGCTTTCACTTTTTCATGTAGTTCACACATTCTCCTTGATTGCCTCTGTTTGACTCCTTCACAGCATTCCTCGAAAATGACCTAATTACTTTACTTGACTTGCAGGGTTAATATCAAAAGACACATGGTTTCCCAGATCGCTGCAGTAAGCTGCATTTCAGATATAAAACCTTTACTTCTTGTCAGTTCACATGTTATACTTTCTCTTTCATGAGTGTGTCGTCCACCGTATGATCGTCCACCGTATGATCAGTTAAGGTAAAGCACAGGATAACCTCCAGCAGTAGCAGGTTTTACATTACAGCTCTCTCTACCTTCAGACACAACCCACCAGAGGTTTGTTAGTGGGAGAAGAAGGTCTCTATGCAAATTGTGTCATTTCAGCCCACATGTGTGTGAGTGACTAAGAGAGTTCTGTGTTTCCTTTTTTGTCTTTTGCCTTCTTAAATAATGGTGCTGCCAGTAGAGGTGGATTATTCAGGGATGTTTAGCATAGATCCAATCTTTGCTGTCACGTAAGCCAGGGGCATACTAATTTAAAGGTTGCATTAAATCACAATTTACTCTGACTTCAGTTAGTTAAAGGAGCCAAGGACAATTGCTTCAGTGAAAGAATTTATTTAGTGGAAAAACACTCCACCCATTTCCTCCTGTTCCCATTTAGAGCTGAACAAATCAATCAGACCGCCCGAGAAACCTCCTTAAAGGGTAGAGTCTAAAAAAATTAAAAAACAAAACAGAAGACTCCAGACATGAAAATACACCAACATTCATTTAATGTGAAATTCACAATGGCAATAGTGAAGCAAAGCAAACAAACCTAAAATAATTAGTAGGGCTTCGTTTTAACTCTATAGAAATGAAAACCTGGACAGTTTAGCAGCTGGATTCAGCCTACAGTGTCATACTTCTCAAAACAATCATTTATTATTTATACCAAATGACACTGTTTACAGCGTCTTTATGATATGATATACAAGAGTGAGGGTGAAGAATACAAGATGGTGTTTTTGATGGGAGTGAGCAAATGAGGCGTTGCTATTGTTCTCTTCCATCAACTGCAACTTCTTAATTTTAACAAACAAACGGCGGATGTACAACATGATCGATGGTCACTTTTGCTCTGAAAGTGTTCTTCAAAAAATAGCTTGTCCTGTCAGAGTGTGCATTTTCCTTTCCTGTGCATCTATAGTACGTTTGTCGTACACTGCAGTGTGTGTGTATTGATGGTTAAGACAAAGAGCCAAGGCGATTGAAGAGCCTTTCAAATTAATTAGATGTCTTATGGGACTTTTAGCTTAAATATGTACAGTATGGGAATCCTGCCTTAATATCAGTGACATTCACTTAAGTGCAATGATAGAGAAAAACAATCAGAACAAAGATTTCTATTACTGCCTCCCCCATTCTGCCCGGCTTAAGGTGTATAATTGTTTGAAGGGAGCAGAAATGGATTGTTCTAGATAGCCAGTGGAGCGGGTAATGCAGATCTATGGTGGGCGAAATGTTTTGGAAGGTGCTCCCCAGACTTGCTTTTTCACTGTGACTTCCACAAACAAAATGGCCTGCCTTGTCTGCTGCTACAGAGCAGGCATTGAAGGGCTCCCTCTCTGAAAGACATAGAGAAAGAAAAGAAGAAACATGGGTGTCAGGGACTGGATTTACCGCCTTTCTGCTTTTCATGCCAGTTTTCTTTTTCTTTTTTTGTATTAAAAATAAAATGATTGCCTGTGTACATGTGTGTGTGCCTGCCTCAGTGCACCTCAGTGACACTTTTCAGAGCAAAATAATAAAAAGAAAAAAAAAACCTGCAGGAAATTACATGGCTTAGAAGAAATGGAAAATAAAACAATGCCATGTTGCTGTCCTGGTGTCTTGTGACAAAACAAATACAAATGAGGCAATTTGGCTGGAAAAGGATGAAGGATGAAAGGCCTTTCATGTAGCTGTGTGGACTATGCTGTGTGCTGATAGCTCCTTCAACAAGACCCTCAGAGGGGCATCAGGATGTTAAGTGGACTCTGATAAGAAGCCACACAACAGCATGTACACAAACACACAGGTATCAGGGACATCGTACACGCGTGCAAACACACACACACACGCGAACACACACACAGAGATATCTAGTTTCACTCGTACAGAGGAGCAAGCAGTATGTCATGGATTAGTGGTTAATGGGATTGGCAGGCCTGTGTGAGCCACTGTAATCGAGCCCACACAATGGCTGATAACAGGGACAAGACAATGAACAAAGGAAGTAATGAAAGGAAGTGGAGCTGATCCTGCGAATGCACCACGGACACAGACACCGACGTGTGCTATGGGTTAAACTCACGCTCTGGATTCAAATACGTTGGTGGGCTGTTGTTTTAAATGAACTCCACTTAGATGCTCTATGTTTTACTGGAGCTTCACTGGTGGGCTCCTGAGGGCTGACCTACATCATGTGACTGGGTCACATGTAGTACCATCTTTCCTCGGCCTACGTTTGGGCAGTTCACTTAGTGTCTACGCAGGAACTGCCGACATATGAGTCGTCATTTCTAGTCACACATACGAACACTCTTTGACAGTGATTCTAAATCATGAGGCCATGGCCCAAACCAAGACCTTCAGTGCCACCTAAAGGGCCACTGCAAAGATTTAGTTTTGCACCTGTGGGCCATGGAACTGCAAAGGTTATCAACTGAAGACACCAGAGATATAATATCTAGCCCATCGAGCTCCTTCGGCCCATTTGGGTAATTAAGAAAAAAAAAAAAGTTTCACTCTTCGTGGCCCACGTTGTCTGTTTATATGTTTTCAATTATAATGTACTATTGGTTTTCAGCATAAGTCAAACCAGTATTGTTGTTTGAAAATGTAGGCCCAGCAGTCGTTTTCTATCAGCTTTTCAGCTTCACAGAGTTCCTTACTATAATGAGTTTCTGGAGAAAAGTGCAATACAAAAGAAATGCAAATCCCCAGACCACGGCCACTGATGCATCGCTATATCATCAACGATTCTGGCTTTAGTTCTATTTCTTAACCTCTGCCTGAAATATTTTATTTTTTAGTCAACTCCACCAAACATGCAGCTAATGATACCATTATGATGATCAACCACAAAACAAGTTTACAAAAACAAAGTTGTCCCATATTTGTCCCACGGTGGGGAAATTCACAGGCTGCCACACAGCCACACTCACTGAGTATGTGGTTCCTCTGGGGCTTTGACCCAGGACGTTCTGTCTGTAAGGCAGATGCGATTCCTATACTATGGAACCACAACCATTCAAAATGTCCTGTTACTCAATAACTAGCCTGTAGTTTTACTTAAAAAAAAAAGTGAGTTGTTTCGCAAAAATCAAGTTTCCGTGTCATATAGTTTATAATGAATTTTAAAGTAAAATCATCCCTTCCTGTCTATTTGCATGTAATTAGGATTACATAGTCATAGAAGCCCCATCCAAACAACAATGGCATTTTTAATCCTTTACAGCTACATCCATTCAAAATTTCTGTGGATAACCAAAAAAACAAAAAACAAAACTAAGATTTTCATCTGAACGAAAAGTAAACAAATAAAAAAATAGCTGTGGTTCGGTCCATTCTCTATTAATTAATAAGGCTGCTACAGTAGAGGCATATTTCTCCTTCTACACTACTTTCCAGTGATAAATATAATAACAGGGAAAAATTGCAGCAACTAATTTTTTATTTATTCCCACACAGCCTGTACTTGGAGATAAATATTTACAGTAGGCGGTTGTGCGTTGAGTATTTGTGTCACGTCTGCCTAATCATGCACAGCATGTAAACACTCAGTTGATTATTTTGTGTAGAAGATTTGGGTTAATGAGGAGTCAGTCAACATGAGAGGGTTTCCCCACCTACTGCTCCGACCGACACTCGGCGGTGTGAAAAAGACGGGGACTCGGAGACAGAGAGCAGCTTGAGAAAAAAATACCAAAACAAAGACTAACCTTTACAGAAGCAAGAATGCAGCTTGTTTGCTGTTGTCACGTCTTCTGCATTTTGCTTCCAGAAGCTAAAAAGGGGAGTATGGCTGGGTGTTCTGCAAAGACACGGTCAAGAAAAAGAGGATACACGTGTATTTAGCAGAGAAGCAGCTTCAGGCTCTGACCCCTGACCTCCTTGCTCTGGAAATTCATCAATGTTATTCATACATTTCTTTCTAAATGCATGAGCAAAATTAACATTTACTATAACTGACAAAAATATTAAAGACAATCATTTTGTTTAAATTAAGCTTATTTTGCTTTGTGCAGCAAACTACACTAAGAATCTCGGATGCATTATTTGAAGGAAACCAAATACAGCAGCTTACCTTGACAGGCTGGAAAGCCCCCCATCGATCGGTTTCTTTTTGAAAATTTTAAGCTTGAACAGAGTATTGTGAACAGCCAGTGACTGGAATATGTCTTTTGGCTTGTAAATCTGTAGAACACCACTGGGAGGAGACCACGGATTGTCACAAAGCACTGGACGTTATTTATGATGGTGGTGCCGCTGTGTGTGTTTGTTAGCAAGGTGTGAGTCAATTAAATGAGTACAAGTTGAGTTGATCAACCTGTCGTGGAGTGCTGGACCGCTGCCTATAAGACATTATTTTATTTGCTGTGTTTAGAGTTGGCCTACAGAGCTGAAATCTACCTCAGGAGCAGAAGTGACCATTGATAGATTCATCTGTAGCCTAAGGCAGGGACCACCGGTTAGTTTACTGCCCCGATTCATGCTGTTTATTTTTTGTCTCGACTGGTTCAGACCACTTAGATGGTTTGCTTTCATGGCCGGTCCTGTTTAACACGGTGTGTGTGTGTGATCTTGACACACTTTCACCTGTACACACCCTCCTTAGCCTGGAAGTTTGATGCAACAAACTTCTAGCTCAGTGGTTATCAAACGTTTTATACTCTGTGCCACCTGAGAAAACATTGATCTCTCTGAGTACCACCATGATGACCAACATTAGAATACAGCAGCCGAGGCCTGCCCTGTTAGCTTCCACCACAGGAGAGATGTTTATAAAGATGTTTATGTAGTTTGAGAACCACTGTTCTAGATCGTATGTTTCAGATTTGTTTAATTGAATATGTAAATGTGAAAATGTGAATTTTTCACTAGACCTCTAGAGGGTGCTTGTGTACCACCGGTGGTACGCGTACCACAGTTTGAGAACCACTGTTCTAGATTGTTCAGTGACAGAGGATACATTGAAAAAGAAGTTGGCAATTGGCGTAGAAGCCTCGTCAAGTCTAGAGAAGTCAAGTCTACAGAGGGAGTTTGAATAGTAAAATCTCACATTACAGGAATATACTTTATGGATATTTGTACTTTGAACAAATAATAGTAAAAATAATAAGAAAAAAGAACCAACTATTACACACATCCATAGCAGTCATGTGCCTTACATGTATTTGTGCATTGGTCGTGTGTGTGTGTGAGTGAGAGAGAGATTGTGTGAGGTCTTACCCTCGTGGTCTTGATTTTGTTCCCAGAGGAGCACATCCATCCAGAGTTGTCAGGCAGAGTCTTACACTCTTCTCCCTCCAGACACGGTTCCATCTCACACCACCACTTTCCAATTACGATTGATGCTGTGGAAGGTGAAGCACAGGCAAGTTTAGTTCATCATCATATTAAAAAAAATTAAAAGTGACTAAAGAAAAACCTTAAAGGAGAAATATGCAATTACAAGTGACATTTTCAGACCACAGCGTGCGTCCAACAGAGGACGTCTCCTATCATTTTCACTCCGTAGCACATCGGGGGAATTACTGTGGCCTTTGCTTCACCAAGAAGGGGTTTTTACTTTACTGTTACAGCCTCTGTGAAAGTACTGAATGCCGACCATTTTACATCTGCTCCTGTTTGCTCCTCTTAATCTCCCTCTCCTTACATCTGCTCCTCTCTCTCATTTTTCCATTTCACTGTAAATGCTGAGGCAGATGGCTGCATGTGTCTGGTTCCCTGTCTTTCACCTGTTAGGGAGAATACTTCCCTCTTCACCTCCACTGACAATGGGGAACATATTTCACTGAAATCACACTGCAGCTTATTTCTGAGTTGATTTTTTTTTAACTGCTGAAAATTGATGTATGTGATATTTTACTGTAGCATTTTCACACAGATGCATTCAAGTAGCTTGAAAAGTATATTAAAAAAATCACAAGATAGGATTTTTGAAATGTATCTGTAGAAGACTTGTCTCAGTTATCTCATAAAAACAGGCGACGCTATCACTTTCCTCATTGATTGTTGCTGGTGCTGCGAATAATCAATGACAAAATCAATGAACACCTTTACAGGAATGCATCTCACAAGTTTAGACAATGGCAAAGGTAAAAACTTCAGGTATATTATCACTTTCTGACTGCATTCATGTTTAAGAAAAAAAAGGAAAAAGTAAAAGTCAGTCAAAACAGTGAAACTTTTATTTTGTCGTTTTGCCTGATTAAAACAACGTCGGAGTGTTTAACCATGTTCTAGATTTTAATTAAGCTCTGCAACAGCAGAAAGAGTGGCTGAATAAATAGTTTGTGTCAAAGCCGATTACTTACACAAAACAATCACGCAAACTAGAAACGTTTTCTACTAATTACCTCTGCTAAATGTGACACATGGAGACTTGGAGACCTTAAATAAAAAGACACAACAACGAAATAGTGGTGTACAGTTCACGAAAGCTGAGGAGGAGTTACTGGAGTCTGCGAAAAACATTGCTATAAAGCAGTCTCAGTTTTGTTTGTCTAGTTTTATCTAGAGTATGACACAGGAGGACATGTATAATACATGTGTGCTCCCGTCCACTCTCTTTGAGCAGTTTCAGAGAAACACACTCATCCGGTTGTAGAAATTATTATTTTTTTTCCCCCATCCTGCCATTGCTGCATGAGCTGCTCTCACTGTTGACGATAATGTCTTTTACCGAAGAAATTAATCATTCTGTTCATTTTGCTACATTGCATGTTAGAGCGCAGACTCATTTTTAATCAAAACTAATTGCCTCTCATTAACACCAACCAAATTCCTTCCCCCAGCTATCTGACGCAAACAAATATGTTCACGTCTTCTCATCAGGATCTCGCTCTTCCTTCCTCTCCTTCCCGCCAACTCTTCTGTCTTTCTTTTTGTGTGTGAATGTGTGTGTGTGTGTGTCTTCTCTAAATTGTTTACTAAGACCTCCCCAATGACAGATAGGCAACGTGAGTAACGTAAACAAATAAATTAATAATTAGACCGTGGGCTTTGTTTACCTAGTGTATACGTTCCTCTAATTAACTCGCTGCAGTCCATATGCTCAATTAGTCCCTCATGGGAATGTGTTCACCTACACTCTGACTTATAGTTGTTTTGGATTTAGATGAACATCTGTGTTACTCGATACATAATAGTAATAGGTCAGCACCCCAAATAAATATCGCAAGTGTATTTTATGATTAATCAAATTAAGTTAATGTGTTAAAAATAGTACAAAGTCAAAAACAAAAGAAAGGTAAAGTAATTTAAAGCATCCATTCATTGGTTGCTTATTCCTTTGCATGGTCGCTGCACATTTCAACATTAACCGACCTCCTCTTGATGTTGAGGGAACTTGTTCAGTTTCCACTCGATGTGTCCTGTAGACACAGAAGATCATCAACAACCCAGCTGTGAACCTGCCCTTTGGCTGCAGTTATATTTGTTTACCTTATCCACTAATTACCTCACACTGGTGCACTGCCCACTGTGATTCAATGACCTGTTCTCCCTTTACAACGTGGAACGAGTTGCTTTTAATGTTCAATGCCGAGATAACACGGCCTGTTTAAATTCAGTTCATTTAAGGTACTGTAGAACATTTTGATTTTTGTCAGAACTCATAATAAGAGCTATACAAATAGCAGTGTAAATACAGCACATCCTGTTTGGTTACACCAGATTGACAGGGACAGATCTAGACCTGATTCCATTTTCAATACAAGGGATCCTTGACTTACAGTATTTCAGAGTTCCGTTCTTACAGTGTGTCATAACTCAATTCTTGCCGTTAGTCAAAACTCAAAGTAAAGACTGCATATATTTTATCAGGCAGAGCAGCGCGGTTAAAACCTATCCGGTTTACAGAGCAGCCTGTGTGGATGATATAATAATCAACAATGTGTAAAAAACAGTTTTTTTCCATGGTTGCGTATGAACAGAGAGTGTAAAAGACAGAAGCTTCTCTTCTGCCACAACTACCTCATCCAGTACTGTATGAACACCTTGTGTCTGGGGCTGCAGCAGGGCCAGGACATCAGTCTCTGACCTTGACCATTGGATGGAAGCCATTTCTGGGTTGGTTTCCATGCATCACTCTCTAGTGACCACTGACCTCTATCAGTCGTTTTACTTTGACTACTCCCTGTGCAATCATCAGCTTAGAGGGCACAACCTTTGTTCCGACATCAGCAAACTTTACTACTGCTCTGTGTCTGTCAGGGGCAAAAGGCAGGGGACTACAGCAGGCCAGGTTCTAAATCTGGCTACTAAATAAGGCGTCCCCTCCACCAGCTGCTCCTGTGTACTCTTCTGTTCAAAACGATCAGTTACTCTTGCAGGAGTTTGGGGCTGAACATTTCCAAGGTTCAGCTTCAGCCAAACACATCATTATGCTACACTTTGGAGACGGGTGTATTCTTCATCGATTGCCTTTTTCTGAGTTGCTAAAATCCAGTTTCCATTGTTTTGTCTGCTGCAGTCTTGTTCGCTGAGAGAGTCAGCCTCCAGGTGGAAGGAGGTTTCTTTTACCTGACTAAATCAATACTGCTGTATATGCAAGCCTACTTACTCAAACTCAGGTTGAAAAATATGTATTCAAACTAAATTATATATATAAAGTGTGTTCAGTTTATATAGCCATATTTATATTTATAACTTTATTTGTCTTTAATAGAAAGAATGGCAACTCAAAAGCCAAAATAGTGTGAACACCCGTGGTGTAAGGTTATGGTGAGGTGTAGGGTGAGGACCGATTCTTGTAAAAGAAAACTTTAAATAATGAAATGCATGATTGTAGTTATTGGTGTACATGAAGTTTGGTTTAAACCCCAGCCCAGGTGCACATCCCCAAAGACTACTTATCTAGGAGGGATGGCAGTGGTGGCTTAGTGGTTAAAGAAGTGGACTTGGTGCCAGAAGGTGCCAAGTTACCACTGAGCTGCACCTCCCCACTGGGAGCACTGGGCGTTAAAAGCAGAGGTCACATTTGGTTGTGTGCAGTTCACTTTCCTTGTACTAACACCGTGTGTACGTGATGCCCACATGGACATGAAAGAGTTTAAATATGCCCTAATAATTGTACAATTCATTCACACAAAATGTCCTTTGAAGCATCAGCAGTAGGTTCCATGCAATAAAGAACTGGCGTCAATTAATATGTCTCTCACATTTTATCACACTGTCAAAGATGACAGATGAGCTTGGAATAATCAACAAACTGAGAGAATGTTTGATTGGACGCGTTGACCATGTAGCAGACTGTAGTCTGCAGACTTGATGGACAAACAACTGAGAGTAAGGCTTGAATTGATTGAAAAACATGAAGCGATGGACCTGTTACAAGTGCATCTGTCAGATTGCCGCTGAGTGGGCCCCGTGATGGATTGAACCTCGCTGGCACGTCCCTGCCAGGTAGCAGAATTTTTGAACATCTTTGACGGATCAAGGGGGAGAATTGATTTCTGTCCGTGTCAGAGTATGAATATGCTCCTATAAGGGCAAGGAGTCGTGAATGTGTCTATTTTATTAATCCAGGACCAGCTGCATGGCACCTTTATTCTTTCTACAGCTTTATGGTTGCTCTTTATTTTATTTTGGTGAATAGCTCGCCTAAGGTCAGTGTGCAGAGCTGAAAGCAAATCGCCTTTAAATTCTCCCGCAGATTGTACAGTTAATTTACAGCTGTGAAGTGAAGGATGATGATGATGAATCAGTGGGGCAATCGTGGAGTATTTTTCTTCTCCTTTCACCTGAGCACTTATATCACCACTCCATACCTGCCTGTAATTACAGTTATTAGCCCAACAAGAGACTAATCAATTCACCATCATAAGAGCGGTGAAAGCACCCAAAAAGTCAGTGGAAAAAAATGATTAAAACCGCACTTCCTTTTTAATAATACCTCGGTGTAAGTGCAAACATTGTTCACAATGTGGGGTCAAGGGAGCGTGAAGCAGGTGTATAATTACAGCAGGAAATCATAAATGGACGGCTGAATACTCGTAGATCTTTGCCCTCTGGGAAAATAATGAGCTAATGCAATATTTGCTTTAAGGGAATATTATTTCCTATCAATCACATGTCTTAAAGACCCTATATTATTTCTGAAAAAAACAATTGAAAATATTTTCAGGTTATACCACCCATATATCGCTGATCCTGTTTCTTTTATTTCATATGTTGGAGACAGAGGAATGCCAAAGTTCCTCTAGATTTTATAACTAAATAAAAATATGATCTAAATGTAAATATAGTACATCCCAATTAAATAGAATAATTATCTCTTTTCTTGTTTGTCACTCAGCAATGCACTGTTACTTGTGTAAAAAGAAAACGTATGCATGAGAGATGTACCAAT